CAACTTCCGACGGGGCAACGAACTGATATGGAGGGGTAGGGTTGTTTAAAAGAGGGTCCACCGCGCCAAGCAAGTAATGTGCCCATGATCGGTCTCCATCATACATATTTTGCGTCGTGCTCTGGTCGAAAGAAGCTCCTTGGGCATTAAAGCGGCTCTCGCGCCCGACCTCAGAACCAAGTTCATTATCAACACTACTCACAACCAGCATCAGCTCTCAACCATCCTCCACTGGTTGCTCCCTCATTCGAGTGTCATCAGGAGGATCGAAGAAGACTCCTGGCGGGGAGAAGCATAGCTGAACATTACGGGTCATAATGCAGCGGGACAGGTGGGGATTGTGCAATTGCATTGCCAGGCTGTTGCGCGTGCGTGATATAATTTAGACACCCGGAAAGGCGATTCCTGTCCCGAAGGTACCCCATAGGTAGGGTTGCTTCCCTTTTGCTTTCTCCCCGACTCGCGCTAGCCTCGTTGTCCTTGGCGACTTTTCCTGTTACCGGGACGCCTTTCCGGGCCGGACATTCACAGTAGATAGCCATGCTGATCCAACTGCCCCCAAAACATTTCTATTGCGGCCATTGGGAAGCTTTCATTCACGTCGCCTTTGGTATTGTAACCATTTGCCGCTGACTCGGTTGGGATATCTATAAAAACGCTGTCAGTAGGATCACTCACGAATCCGGGTAGGAGGCGCAGAAGTCGATGTTTTCTAAGTACTCGTTTTCTGGGTTCTTAGACAAACAATCAGCCCCGACAACGTATAGTGTAGACACGAAACCTACCGTGAACGGCATGTTGTCCATTAGTGGCACCCCGTGAGAAACGACCGTGGTGGAGTTGAGTCAGCTGAAGTAAGAAAGACGATCGAGTATAGCGGCTAACTCACGCAGGAACTGACCAGGTGGCAACTAAGGGAACGGGAAGAAGTATAAAAGAGGGAGAGGATAAGGGTGATGATTTCAGCGGACAGGAGGAATCTCTGGGTGCGATTGGGAGCGTTTATAGCCTTGCAGATGGTAAGGGACTAGTCCACTTCGGGCAGTTATTCAAAAAGTCATGCAGGACGACGCGAATAAATACCCAGGAAGAATTGACCAATATTATCATAGAGAAACGCACCAGGGCACATTTTAGCGATGCAACCGGTGGACCAATTCAATCGAGAATCGTGGGTCGGGCTTGGGATGAGGTCATCCTGCAGATGATGATTGCAGCATGGAAAGAGCGCAGACTTCCGATAGCCAATCCTGTGACTGAGAACCGAGCATTTCCAGTCTTGCTTAGCGGCTCAGCTGATCACGCGTCAGCGCGACACCTCATCAGCCTTAGTGGCTTGCCATCCTGCGTGATAGACAGTGGAAGTTTTCTCATGTCACCAATCTGATGTTCGACAATCGAACAAAACCTCAATTTCGTCGGCCATGTGACTAGAGCGTGTTCGATTTCGCCGAGTGATCTTGCAATAAGTCCGATTTTGGGCATCCTTGCGTTGATTCCCGTTCAAATACAGCTCGGGGTTCTGGTCATTGTGAGCCGTCTCAGGTGGTTTGGCATCGGCCGATTGTAGGAGATTTTCTAGGATTTGTGTCAGGCTTGGAAGAACGTACTGATGCCTCGAGTATAAGATGCTACTGAAATCCCTCTAACTGGCATATCTCCCGCCTTGTCATTGCCTCTACTTGTGGTCTCAGCCTGAGATACGCGCACTTGTTCTTCACTGCCACTGATCGCTCAGAAAGTACCGTAAGGAGAGGGCTTGACTGATGTCACTTACACGCTAACAGCATTTAGACACGATCGCGTTCGTTTCCCGCAAGATGCCCAGTGCAGTTCCCCGCCTGTTCTCACGCGCGCCCGACTGTTGCGGCGCCCAAATGTCTCGTCGCCAAACGAGCAGCGACAATCATGGCAATAGGGACAGATGGCGTTATTTCTGCCGATCTTGCAACAGCATGGTCTTCGATGACCGGGAAGGCATCCGAGAGGGGAACCCTTTGTGTCACTGCCAGGAGATCTCTCGTCGGCAGATTGAGGGTGGTCGTGTCTTTGTGTTCCGGTGCGCGAGGAATGACTGTGGGTTTAAGAGAGGGACTTGATGATGAGTAGGCTTTGGCTCTGCTCATGGGATGCAAGTGCATTCGGATAGCGCAGGGGCTGTGGGAATCCGCAAAACACCCAACTGCATCTCCAATGAGATTGCCATAATGTTAGGCGTTTTTAGAGATGGAATATAAGACTCTGATGTGAAGGGGCCGCGTATTCGGAAAAGGTGTTATAGTGTAATCCTAGACAGCTGCTGGGAAGCCCTTGGACTAGTGACTTGATCGATTGGAAGGAGCTATGTTGGGTCCTGAAGGGACCGAAGCTCATACAAAGTAATCCAAATGTAATCCATACCTATATTCACCTTTCTCTATCATATAATGTACTCACAGACCCCAGTCGCAGTCATCATCCACGCCGGCGTAGGCTGGCACACCCCCTCCGCAAAAGCCCCAATCACAGGCCAAGGCACCCGCAAGGCCAGAACCGGCCATCCAGCCCACTATCTCCAAATCTCCGGGACACTCAATCTAAGTGCGGCCCCACACGGACGAATACACCGACACACATCTCCTCACCGACGAAGAAGACATCTACTCTCGAAAAGTACCGCGAGTCTCGAGAGACTCATCCCCCACGCGCCGCCGACATCGCTGTCATCGAGACCGGCGAGGCCGTCGGTGTAGCCACATATCTTATCATGGCGCCGACCATCTTCGGCCAAGGCACCGGCCCCTTCAATCGGTACTCGATGCAGCTCCTATCCATGATTGCGGACGCACTGAGCTCCGGTATCGTTAGCGGTATAGAGCAAGGAAACACCGTATGGAGCCATGTTCACATCAGAGACCTGGTCGGCTTGTTTATCGTGTTACTAAAGCAGATCTGCACTGGTGCTACGATCCCATCGGGCAGGAAGGGCATCTACTTCTGCGAAACAGGCGAGCATACGCACCGAGAGTTCTCGAAGCGTTTGGCTACTGCTGCTTATGAGCTGGGTGTATTGCCCTCCTCCCATGTGAAGGAGATTAGTCTCGAGGAAGCGGCAGAGAAGTTGGTGTTTGGCGGTGTCTCTACAGCTGAGCTGGGGTATGCTTCTAAGTGAGTTTGAGCAGTCCCTTTCTTTCAGAATGATGACTTGTAAGTGGACGAAAAGACACTGACCTACTTTTCTTGTAGCGCTCGGACGAAGGCTATACTAAGCCGCAAATTGGGTTGGATGTCCTTGCATGGCGATGATTGGGAAGCCACTTTCCGTGATGAAGTCAGCGTGTTCATCAAGAGTCCTCCGGCTGAGCGTGATATCCCGGAGTTTCTGAGGAAACACTAGATGTACATACTATGTCCTCATACATGAACTTCTGAGGGCATCAGAGCACGAAGTATGTCAGCTGCAGAGAGAAAGTCACTTGAATGAGAAATTGTACATATGAGAGAAATGACTCGCTGGTGGTAACCAGCTCAATTATTGAGCAGTCATCAGTGTGATATAGATTGAGCTCATTACTACGCACACATAGCAGGCATGGAACTTAATTGCTTCTGAAAGTCGCTTAATCAAGTCTTATTCTTCCTTGACACCCATCCCATTCAATTTACCCAGCCTGCTAAATTCTACACCGACCTCCACTCCGTTCTATAATCTCATCCACTCCCCTCCCCGCCTCCCGTACATCCTTACCCAAATCATGAAACCACAACCACTCAAACCACCCAGCTTGCAACTTCTCCAACACCTTATGCATATCTGCCCCCGTCTCCGGATGCTCATAGTAAAGCATCATCGCCATCTCATGTGCCCGTTCCAGCTGTCTTTGTGCCCTAGGCCTCCTTACGGCATCATACCCAGCAAACCCGGCACAGATATACGGATACAAAAGCTCACCATCCGGAGCATGAAGGAAGATCTTAGCGAGCACGTTGGAGAGGACTAATGCATCCTCCAGTCCCTGGCCAGCACCGGCAGCCTGGAAAGGCAGCGAAGCATGGGCACTATCGCCTAGCAGGACGACGCGATCACGGTAGTATGTTGAGGTATAGCGGTGGTGGAAGAGGCCCCATCGGATTGGTTTTGCTTTGTGGAGGAGTCGACGGAAGCGGTCGTCGATGTTCGGGTCATTGAAGTCGGACATCATTGTCTCGTAGGTCACTTTTTGGGTGACTGCGTTGGACAGCTCCCAGGGCTTGTTGTCCGCTACGCAGAGGAGGAAGTTGAGTTCCTGGTTTTCCAGAAGAGGAATAGGTTAGTGTAACTGGGCTATGCGGTCGATCTACTAAACAAGTCGGACATACCTCTCCACCCGATATCAGATAATGAACACAACAGCGTTTCTCACCGAGGTACATCTTCGCTACGTCAGTCAGGTTGCCGAAGATCTCCTGGCTTTCAGCAATGGGTATCACGCCGCGGTAGCAGTACGAGCCAGCGTAGACTGGATCGACCTGGCTGGGGTACGTTGGTGATAGGACATGCTTCCTCACAACGCTTTTGATGCCGTCTGCACCAACCAGGATACTTGCCTCCGAGGTGTCGCCATCCGCGAAGTGTAAGACCACCTTGTTTGAATACTGTTCGATATTTGTTAAGCGCTTGCTGAAACGGACTTTCTCAATCGGTATGAAGCTGGTCATGGCTTGGAGGACATCATTCCGATGTGCCTAAGTTAGCATTAGCGTGGCTCAGCTTTGATAGTGTGTACATAGAGAAAACAGACAGCTCTGCGAATGTAATCCGGATGACCCCACGATGACTTGCCGTACCAGGGCTCTGTAAGCCCTGCGGTGATTTACAGTCAGCAGACTACTTAGTAATTTACCATAGGGTAAAAGATACTTACCAAGACCCTCCCTGAGAAGCATCCCTTCAAAGTAGATATTCTGTGCATCTTTAGGCTTGTTACCTATGCAGAAGCGCTCGAATTTAGGAAGAAAGCCCTCTTGGATCATGTCCAAGGCCAAGTCACCATTGGTCCCAAATCCTATGCCAGCGCTTTGACCCGTCAGAAAGACGAGCCGAATGTCTATCCGATGGAGAGCAGAGCGAAAACCTACCCAACAGTGGAATATTGAGATTCTTCTTCGTAGACCGTGAATGGCACACCCTGTCTATACAGGCCCATGGCGAGCGCAAGGCCTCCAATGCCGGCACCTAGAATCGGTCATCGCGAGTGATATGAGGTCAAGACATATGTTGATTGAACCCACCGACAATAGCAACATGCATGTCTCTAACTTTATCTCCAGCCATGGTGCTCGCTTTTCGGCTAGTACGTTTTCTGCTGTCAACGTTTCTGCCAAGGTCTCTGTTGATGATAACTCTGTCAATCCTTCAACAAAAGCAAGGCCTGCTGCTGCCTCGAGTACGGACGAATGGACAGCCTTGCGTGCGGGGTTGGCGGGTTGGGTCGGATGTACGTCGTCTGCATCTCGATAAGCGCGCTACGCGGGGACATGAATGGTACCCGTTTGTTTGACTCCAACGAGGTCATGATATTTCGAAGTTTAATGATAATCTCACTCATATAGTTTCGGAGATGACCGAGAGACGAAAGGCACCTAAGGTGTCTAAGGTCGCTAGAGAAAATCTACGTGTTTCCGGGTTCAAGATTCCTAAAGACTTGACACCATTGAAGAGCCTGCTAGCCAAAGACGGTCTCGGTTCGAAGACTATTCATGAGATAGAGCCTGGGCAGTTGGGATTTGGTTCCGATATCAACCAGCGCAAGTATGTCATGTTTCGTGCGCTGTCTCCACCAGACACAGAAATTCCGGGTCTACAGGACCAGGAAAAAATTCTCAAAAGGCACTGAATTCCCCAATACTTCTTCTCCGAGGTTGAGTTCCTACAGGAAGACTTTGCCATGATGAATAATTTCACTAGTCAGAGTCGGACACTCTGGTTTACACAGCACTTCGTATGTACGTGTGCCATACTGAATGAGAACGACCAAGGGAAGATCGAGCCCGCTAAGGTTTATGTTATATCTAAGGGTTCCAAGCGTGCGCTCGTGCTCTCTGACGGTGGTGATGAGGGAGATGAGGACAATGTCATACAGAGGGCCACCGACGAGCCTGCTTTTGCTCGCAAAACGGCGAAGGTATGCAGTGTTCTTCTTCTCATGCTAAGATACGCCTGATCTAATATCTTCAGACTATTCTCGGCGGAACTCCCTCGGGAAAGCATCGTGTGTCCCTTGCTTGGTTCCTTGCGGATTCTGTTGTCTGCTCTTGTTACTCCACGCGACATGAAAATGCACTGCCCTTTCCGAACTAGAAGCCAGAATGATCCTGCGCTTCTTGCTTCAGAATTGGAGGCATATAAGGGTTGGCTCAATTGTGGCGAACTCAAGCTTGCCGAACTGCTCGAAGTGGCTCCGGAAGAAGAGGAGTCTGATGATGATTGGGGTTATAAGGGTGTTTTACCACCACTGTTTTTAAGCTGTACCTAGTTGCGGCTGTGTCTGTTTGAGATGGATTCTAGTGTTGAGCATCCGTAAGTTCGCAAGGTTGATCCGGCTTATGCTGGGGTTATGGTGGTATCATGCGTTCTCAGGTTTATATAGAGTCTGCCGGTGTTTGTGCTCCGTTTTTTAGGATAGTGAAAGATACATTCTTAAGCTTTCTCACATGTTTCTTCCTTCGCGTACTTGCTTCCTTCCTCGCGCGTTTCGCTACGCTCCTTGAGCATTCGTTATTTACCCTTCTTGTCGTCCGCATTCGACTTAAGTCAAGAAGGTCTCTGGAGGAGAGACTACGTTTGTATTCAAGATTGTGAAGAAGGTGGACCGAGTCGATGCGCTGGCTAGGTATTTTGGTATATGGTTTAATCCGGATGAGATTCAGGGGATCGTGGGCTGCCTTCCCTGATTAGAGACAAATAGGACGGACTTTGACACTGAGACTATTGGGTAGATGACTGATCTGTTGGCGCTGCGATTTCGTTAGTTTTTATTTTGTTCGGAACGTATTGACTCTGGATTACGTAGATACGAGTTAACTCTCTTACTGTAAGCGTTTGGATCTTAGCGAGACCACTCTGAAATCATCTGTTCACTTGGCTGAAGCAGTAGACAGCCCTAGGACATGAAGATGCCGATGCCGATGCCAAGAGTGCACACCTACATATCCAAGATGGAACTCAATCCGATACGGTCCTCATTGATTACCAACAGTGACTAACAATCAGCAATACCTAGCAATAGGAAGTGCAATCCATGCTTCATCAATAAAATTCGATTCTCCACAGACTGTAACTCCACCACCTAGACGAGCGTGACCCCGCTGAGTAATCGGGAACCAGTGTGCCCCTTCTACTAAATCCAAATGGAGAGGGATGGATACAGTCAAAAACCCTCCCACGTTAAATGCACGGATCTGCTACCGAAAAAGACCTGCAATGTTACTATCTCTTGACCAATTCTTCTCTCAAATTCTTCCAATCACCTTCCCGCCCCCTTAACCCGCTCACCCGCACCCATGATGCAATTCACCAAGCTAACGCAGTCACGACTATTAACCCTCTGCAAGTTCTCAGCGGCCGCGTCGCTAGCGGGCGTCGGAGGCTGGCAGTTCTGGACGGGTAAATGCTACTTCGAGCCTTTCGGGCCCGAGAATGATGCCTTATTTCAGAGCGAGTACTTCAAGAAGTTCAACCCAGGGAACCATCCATCGCTGAACGATTCGTGTGTGCGGAAAGTGCCAGTGTCTCAGATACCGCCGGATTTGGTGGAAGATGCGCTTCGAGGTGGTTCCAAGTTGACGGAGAGGTTTTGTGCTGGTGTGTGGGGTGGTTATGGTGAGTTAGCTACTATTCTTTTTGATCTCTATAGTGCTATTATATGCAATTGTTTGTGATATCAATGTTGCGAGACGTCGCTAACGCTTGATATGCAGGATACTCCATCCAGCGAAATATCCTAGCTTTGGTTGGCCAGAATGAGGGTAATGCGAAGTCAATGTTGTGGGATAAGAGTCAACTGCTGAGCAGTACCTATGAAGAAGGTAGGGGGTTTAATTTTTACAAGCTCTTATTGGTTCAACATTCATGCTGAAGACCTATACAGGAACGATAGTGACCGATCACTTCAAGGTGGTTGCAAAGAATCCCAGATCAATCATCATGTGGGGGGCCGAGTCTCCTTCAACGAACCCTGAACTTCGCCGTGAGATGGAAAATCTATCTGAGGTTTCTACCAACGTCGATACAGATAAAGGGGTGGTAGAATTCCGGCTGAAGAATATATTCTACAATGGCGTAGAGCGACTGACAGGGGATCTTTTCCCACCGCCAATCGTGTGGTTGCACTTTCAGTACTGCAAGTTGTTGGTTGAGGCAGGTGTGAGCCATTGCATGGTTTAGTGCTCGGGTGCTTGGTGGTTGACTATAGGTCAGCTATTGATCGTCGAAGAGGACGCTTGAGCAGTGGATCTTGAGTGCATGTATCAATAGTGTATTATATATGGAACAGGCATAACATTTTCAAAAGCAGTAGCTCTATGCTGAATTTTGGGTCTATGGTTGTGAGCTCCTATCCCCTTCGCGCCTTCGATGTGGCGCGCACACAAATGGCAGCAAGCTCCGTAGTAAATCCGTTCAAATACTGCAGGTGAGTGAGTTCCCCAAGTGCTAGGTGTCGGACAGGGACGCGATGGATTAACCCAGGAACATCTTGCAATAGCTCGACATTGTGATGTACATCAGGGCCATGCGGGTCAGAGATGGTATCGCAAAAGAGAGTCAACACTGCGGTGATAGCGTAGAATAGTATGATCCTATAATTCAGGAGAGGTCAGATCCTTCCAGCATGATGTATGTTCTCTGATGACGTACCAGAAACATTCCCCCTTTATAATGGGCAGCACTCTCTTGAGATAAGACAGCGTTGACCGACTGGCAGTGATAGACAGATTAATGCTAGAAGTTATGCCGCTCAGCCATGTACCTGCGGGTTCCAAGGCTGAGTTGCGATAGCGGTTTGCTGCTTGGTGGATTGAGGTGACGCAGTGATAGTATGCTAACCTGAGCATCACCGCCTGGGTATTCACATTGGCACTGATGTGTGTGTCGTCAGAAAAATACAGCGTGGGCCGAAAATCCGAGGGAAGGGACACCCTCCATTGCTCTAATGTTTCATCTAGAGCTCGGATACTCGATAGCAACTGAGATGCACTCTGATAGAGAGAGACTGCTGAATAAAGGCCCTCATATATTCTGGATTTTAGCATAGACAAACGAAGATCCCAAGGATAGAGAGGAATAGTGTTGTCATTGACAGGAGGCATGTCGTGCTGGAGGTTGATGTTTTGCAGCTGCACATAATCATCGGGCAGACTCAAGTCGCAGTTCGTGTCGTTTAAAGATGGTGGTTGGCCTGTCCTGATGCATATATCCTTGTCGAATGAATAGCAGAGCCAGAATAGATCTCGCAGGTGGCATCTGATGTCGCTCTTATCATAGACAGGGGCGCGAGAGGGGGTGGCCTTAGTGGGTAATATATGAGCACCCAGTGCATATAGAAGCCGTGTGGCTATTGACAGAGTAACACCTGCAGAGCGCAGGTCACCCAAGAAGTATTGGAGTTGAACCTGGCGAGTGATCAGTTGTGGAACTGTAGCCATGGATCAGACCTATACAGACTAGCATTATTAGGGATTGGAGCCCGTCAACCGTCATTTCCTCCATTACCGAGGCCATAAAGCTCTGTGCTGCCAACGCACAAGATCGGCAATCCATGCAATCATGGCTAGCGTCATCAAAGCCAAACAGAGACACAAGGGCCAGGAATGAATATACGCAAGATTTTGCGCTAGCAGAGCCTGGAGATGGGATGGGACTGTAGGCGAGATCTAATGTCCTGCCAAATGTGGACTTGCTGACTACAGGAAACACTAGACTCTGAAAGGAAGAGCTATACACTAGGATGTGCCGTTCAAGGACGGGTCTTGGAGGAAGGGATGGGAGTGGAGAGGGGTGCGTCGCAGAGTCAGCAAAGAAACGGAGCGGCTGGAACCATTGGAGTTCGAGAGCGAACAGTTTGTCGAATTCGATGCTTTCCCCTACCTGTGTTTCAATCCATTTCTGGCCTTCCTCAGAGAAGATGTGGTACCCTGTGAAATAAGTGACATTGTTCAGAAATGTGTTTGCGTGTCTCGGGGGTTCTATCCCCTCTGCTATGGATGGAAAGGCGGATAGTGCCGGTCGATCTAGTAGCATCTATTCAGTCTTTTTCCGATGATACACCCTGGAGGTATAACCCACCAGAATCGACATCAGGTCCGGGTGATGGGGAAGCCACCTGGCTACGGACACGGGGTTTAGCCGAGGATTCTTGATAAGACCCAATGTCAGACGGCAGCTCCATACCTAACGTATGTTGAACCCCGAAGTCTATTGTAGGTACAGGCCAGATTATGGTGCTTGCACCATTCGCATTGTGGGAAACTGGCATCACAACGAATCTAGATAGATCATATAGTTGGTTAAGGGGGGACATCGTGGAACAACCAGCCGGCTGCACCTGCACGTACCTTCTTCTTGAAACAGCTGTCGCATGCCCTTCGCTTTGGCTTCTGATGAGCCATCTCTGCATCACCTTCAAGCACTCCTAGAGACAGAAAACTAGTTGAACACCAACCTCGAATTATTTGCGCGGGTCAATGATGTCAGGTGAATTCGGCCAGCCAAGATCGACTCCGCTTAGTAATCGGCGACTAGAGACCTAGTCTTTGATTTTAAGGGTTTTGTTTTGGATCTAGACCACATGAAGTTAGGATTTATCGAGCTTAAATGGTAACATCTTCCTCTAGATAGCATGCAGCATATCGAATACTAATCTTTTGATGTGCTCCACTACGCTGGCTTGACCATTGGACACCGGTAGCGGCACAGAAGCCGAAACGAGAGACATGCGCACAAACACCACTGATTTAGTTAACCCCATAACCAATCCTGATTCAGCTCGGAATTTCGGCTATAGCTTCACAAGGACAGGACTAGAATATGCAAGTCGACGTGGAATCATGTTGCGGAAGTATTTACCTACCGAACCCTAGTCGGCTTCACTCCGCGAGCAATAAATACCCCCTGTATTATCGACTCGAACACTTTTCTGAGAACAATACATTGTCCAAAAAGTCAACTTCAAAATTGCAGCATTGCCTGGAGGATATCATAGCCTACTATGAGCCAGGTTATACTAGTTACTGGCGCCAGTCGAGGTAAGCGATATCCTGTTCTCGCGAGTTGCAGCTAACCCGGTGTAGGCATCGGCAAAGGACTTGTGGCACATTATCTCGCCCAGCCCAGGACTACAGTCATTGCAACTGTGCGGGACACCACATCCCCAAAAGCAAAGGAGCTCACTACCCTCCAAAAGGGCGATAAATCCCGCCTAATTGTTGTAAAGCTCATAGCCGACGATCCGGTTAGCGCTACGGCAGCCACATCCGAAATTCGGACGCAGAACCTTGGTCACATTGACATTGCAATTGCCAATGCGGGAATTTGCGATCACTGGGGCCCTGTTGTGGAATCTACAGAGCAGGACGTGCTCTCCAACTTTGAAGTCAATACCCTGGGGCCTCTCCGGCTTTTCAAGGCTGTAGCTCCTCTGCTGCAGAACGCTAAGACTCCGAAGTTTATTTATATTTCTACTCTTCTGGCTAGCATTGGTGGGATTGGCAACATGTTTACCCTTACCGGGCCATATGGAATGTCGAAGGCGGCTGGAAATTTTCTGGTCAGAAAGATCCATGCTGAAAACGAGCATTTGACTACCTTGTCTATAGACCCTGGGTAGGTGCAGATCGTTCATTCCACTATAAGCTTGAGAGTTAGCAGGCTAACATGGCTATAAGGCTCGTTCAAACAGACTTGGGTGATCGTGCGGCGAAGCACTATGGAATGGAACAAGCTCCGGTGACGCTTGAGGAGTGCGTTAGTGGAATCATTACTCAGGTGATCGCAACAATTGGCAGCCATTACAATTACAAGACAACTAATGCCATTACAGATTGAGAGAGCGGACCGCTCGTCCACGTCGGGCTCATTTGTCAATGCAAATGGAGAGTTTGTGGCTTGGTAATATTTCCGAAATGGAATGGAAAGAAATGTAGTCATCTGGCAGCAATACTTTGCAATCCAGCAAACTATAGACCAGTAAGAAGAGACAATTTCGTTAGTTACAGCTGCTTTAGTGCCCCAGACGCTATGACTTAGTATTGTAATCTCTATGCTTTTCGCTTTTCCGCTATTGCATTCCATACCCTGGATGTTTTCAAGTTCCACCCATAGTGGGTATTGGATATGCAACGCAGTCCCTGGCAGGACGGAAATACGGTTCAAGTCCCCGATTAGTTCCAGTACGCCCGATGATAATCAAGGATCACGCTTAGTCCTGTTGACATGGGACCGAAATCCTTAGTCGATCTAGGCTCGCCCCTATTTTAAGCTGTAAAAGCTCAATTTCTACCCCTTCTTCTTCTTCACGGCCACTCGTTACTAAATGCGCCCTCCTACGCGCTTACCCTCACATCACCAGAATGCAGGCATACTTTCAATATCGTGCCATTCGGAATTCAGTCCGCAAACAATTACACGACTTCCCTCAATGGATCCACGATTCCATTGGCCAAGCAGGTTCAGGAAGCTCACTGCAGCGACGCCCATCTCGACCACCCCCGATCCCAGGAATTAGCCTGATCGACAACCCCAATAGCCGGGAAGAGCTCTCTCATATCCTTTTTGTCGACTGGGAAAGCAGTAAAGACCCGCTGAGTCCACGACAACTTTCGCTCGCCACACGAGTAGCAGCAACATTGATCGTTACTAGCCTGGCATTTGTAGTCAGCGCTTCGTCGTCGATCGAATCGGCAGTTGTGCCACAAAGCACCGCCGACTATGGGGTCAGTGAAGTCGTAGCCGCACTTTTCGTCGGGATATTCCTCCTCGGCTTCGCTACCGGATCATTAATCTCAGGACCTCTATCAGAGATCCTGGGCCGCAACGCTGTCTACCTAGTTTCCACATCCCTCTTCATGATCTTCGTCATGGGCTCCTGGCTATCCCCAAACACCGGAGCCAAGCTGGCATTTCGCTTCTTAGCGGGCGTATGTGGCTGTCCGCCCCTGACATGTGCTGGCGGTACGGTGGCGGATATCTGGGATTCAAAAGAGAAGACATTGGCCTTTCCAGTCTATGCAATTCTTTCATACGGCGGTGCCATCCTGGCCCCGGTTATTGCATCTTACATGGGTTCGGGGTCAATCTCGTATCGCTGGACTGACTGGATTGTGCTCATTATGGCCGGCCTTGTCTTATCCCTTATTGTTCTTGTACAACCAGAGACATATGGTCCACTACTCCTGCGGTGGAAATCTAAGCACCTACGGCAATTAACAGGCGATCCTCGGTACCTGTCAAAGCTGGATCTTGACCAGACTCCACTTTTGTCTCGGATTAGACGCGCCTGCGTTCGGCAGTTCACTCTACCAATCCGGGAGCCGATCGTCCTTGTACTCTCGTTGTATCTGACGGTGCTGTATATTGTACTTTTCGCCTTTTTTGTCGGGTATGCCGATATCTTCACAGACGTACACGGTATGTCCCAGGGACTGACAAACGTCGTTTGGGTCGCTATGTACGTCGGAATCCTGCTGACGGGGTTGATCGTACCATGGATATATCGAAGCCATCGGAAGCGAGGGCTGAAGGGCGATAGAGAGGTATCTGAGATGGGCAATGAAACCAACGTCTCTGAGAAACCAAGCACAATCCAACCAGAAGATAGACTCTGGTACGCCATGATGGGTGCTCCAGCAATGACCTTGAGTCTTTTCTGGATGGGGTGGACGGACTATGTGAGTTGCATATATCATCCCCAATAAGTCCCAATTCTTCTCCACGGTAATATACAACAGATGCTAACTTATTGCAAAATCCAGCCATCTATCTCAGTATGGTCCCCAATCGTCGGCTCAGCATTCTTCGGCTTCGGCAGCATCTGCATCTTTATTTCCAGCTATATGTACATCATCGACACCTACGAGGTCTATGCTGCATCTGCGCTGGGGTTCATGACTTCCTCGCGCTATTGTGTCGCTGGGGGTATGACTGTAGTCGGCGTCCCATTCTATCATAACATGGGGGTGCATTGGACATTGACTATTTTGGGGATTATCAGTGCTATTTTGACTCCTGTGCCCTATATTCTCTGGAAGTTCGGGCCTGTGGTTCGGGGGTGGAGTCGGTATGCTGTTTGATATCAGGCATTACAACTGTTCATTGTGGGGTAGTACTGGTAGGGTTTACTATGTAAATTAGATTGTTCAAAAGAGAGAGAAGGAACAGGGAATCTAACGAGAAGGACCGGTTATCCTCCAGGATGATCAATGAAGCCAGATCATAATGTAATAGAGGTTGTTTGCTTATCACAAGCATTTCAGATGTCCAGTAAGACAGGTTGCATGAATAACAGGCCTGCCGATACGATACCGCAGATACTATTTCACATTCATTCTGATTCGAGAAAAGCGAGAATATTCCCAATAACTATCACCACAAAACGATGATCGCTCCACACGCCTTTGCAGGGCACGGAGACTGTCCGTTGGTGATCTTTTCCCATTTTCGGCAAATGGTCGTATAGCTGTCGAAACAATATCACTAAATAGAACCCCGTCCCCGCTGACAAAGCGGAAACCATTGAGGTAGATACAACAAATTGAGGTTAAACTACTGTCTCCAGGCTTGAGAATTCTCCCTTCGTGCGACTTTGAGTTTTGGGAAGACGTGTGTTGGGAATTAGGGGCTTAGTGATGTGTACATCGATGACCGGATGGTTGCTGATATAGTTATAACCGTAATGGCTGATCACACTGCATTTATTTCTCTCTTATCTTCTGGTACTGCAACATATGCGCAGCAATGGACCTAGTTGGAGCCCGCTGCCTCAAAGGCCCCATCATACTGCACAGCACCCTGTTAACATCAAGTAGAGAAAAACACGCACAGCACACCCAGTTAATAAGATAGTTTCATTATTCCCTGTCTGACTAACCATCGGCAACCCAGTGCCCAACGCACTGAACAGTGTCACAAGCATCCCGTCCCCTATTAATCAGTAACGTGCTCCTCCGTAGCCATCGGTACTGGCAGCGCCTTGGTATCCCCCACGGCCTGACTGCACATATATAACAGGAAAAGCGGGAAATTCCTCTCTCTCGCCTTCGGAGAAGAGAAATCGTGGAGAGCACTCTTCGATACTATCAAATTCTTGCCATCGAAGTAAGCGATTAGGATCCTCGCCTTCAGATTGTTTGTGCACGTTGTCAAGAGAACCTGGAATGTCTCTATTAGATGGAATAATTCAAGGGGAAGCTGATTATGGGGAAACGTCAACTCACCGGAGCCACCACGTGGTCTTGCAGCGCTACCCTCCCAAGCCGGGTCCTCATGACGCCGACGAGGACGAGGAGCTCGGAACGGAGGATGTTATTATCACACACTGCCTCATGAGTCACGATCAGGTTTATGTGAGGAAGTTCCTGGCCCTGGGGTAGGTGCGGATACCAAGCATCTTCAAATCTGAGAGGTGGTGAGGCCAGAGGATTGCTACCAGGGTCTGTGAACATGGCCATGTTCATATAACGTTCCCTGATTATGGTGTTATTGAAGGACCTGGCGGATGGGTACTTGTCAGTATGCATAGCAATCATGACGGATCTGCCTATATACGCAGTGATAAACCGACCTTCCGAACCAGCCTGACAGATCATCGAGCGTAGCTCCAGCCTCCGTGGCCTTCCTCGCGTGTTGTGTAAATTGGCAGACGAGTACATATGACAGAAGGTGCCCCGTGTCGTCATCATCTGAATCACTCTCACCGGTCGGTTCACGCGACCTCTCTTCATCGAGGTCTGCAAAGCACGCCTCATCGCTTCGGACGTTGCTGTTGGTATCCGGGTTGTCAAGATCAAGGGGAAACTGCTCGAGCTTTTCCAAGGGCCAAGGCTTGAAATACGTCTGTGTCGTAACCGGGGAGCCGCCGTCGGTGCGTAGCGTGAGGTCATGGCACCTGATGTTGTAGCGGGCGGCGTATGCGTTAGTGAGGCTGGTCAACGGCAAAAGCTTGACAGACTGGTGCACTTCTCGAAGGTTTTTCAGAATCTCCTTTCGCGCTTCTTTAAAGGTCTCATTCTCCCGTCTTCTCGTTCTCGAGCACATCAACATGCCGAACAGGTTCCGAAGTGACATTTCGGAGACACGATTGTCGTTCAATGAGCAGGGGAGAAGTAGAAAGGTGTCTTGTGGAGGCAAATAGAAACTTAAATGAATTTTGAGACCCTTATCTATGACTTACAAATGAGGTGGAATGTGTGTTATGCAGGAAGAAGCGGAGTGGCTCTCACAACCATGGTTTGAATTGTGCATACAAGCAGATATCTGGAAAAGATAGTAGGGGTGGGGGTTGGGTTTGGGTTTGAGTGTAAGGAAATAGAGAAACAATCTCAGATACACTTGAATGATGCATATGCTATGTACAGAGTGAACAAAGTAAATTAATGGCATCGTAACTCATATTGTACAATAAAGAATACGCCTGAAGTTGGTGTGAAGATACGGGATCATCCAGGAAGGTAAAGCGGTCAAAGTGAACCCTCCATATCCACATTAGGTTTGTTGGAACTATTGATACTCCGGCATGGCGTGAGAAACCTCAGAATCTACCCACTCCAGCGAAGACTGCACGCCAAATAACTCCCACATCTGCGTGTTGTTCCACGACGAAATCACAGTGGGATCTATACTCCCATTATCGACGATCCCGAGGCGAACTGCGTCATCATATACGTAATTATTAGCATTCACCGGGGGCATTACCCCTTCTGGTGCAGCATTTGATAAAATCGTAGACATGTTGGTCGTGTCTGGTGGCGTAACCACGGTGTTGATGCTGTCCACTCCTTCCATAAGCGGACTGCATAAGTTGAGGAACGTGGTGAATAAGTGGTATAGTTTGGAAAAGGATGGATTGGTGTCAACGAATCGATGCAGCCCTTGAGTCGTTCCCTGCATCAATTGGTAGTCTTCCGTATCAGATGTTCCGACTACATTGCAGAATAAAATGTAAAAGGGAGTCGTGGGATAGAAGAGGACCGTCCTAGTAAGTAACCCTGTTAGAATGATGTCAAGATGGAGTGAGGATGTATATTAACCATAATAGAAACATCGAATAGGTACCAACGAAGCCTTCGTCCTCGTTGAGAACTTTTTGTAAACGGTCGAGAGCTTTCAGGGCGTAGCGCGCTTGTGATAGACACTCTTCGCGAGCTGGAGGTTCGGCTTGCACCTTAGGGCTAAGATGCAGCAGCGTTGTTAAGATAGCGTGATATCGAAACTCAGTGGCAATCCATTCCACCTGTAAAGCAGGTCTCGAATTGCGGCATCGCTTATAGAACCGTTAGATTACGGCCGGAAAGCGATGAGGATGTTCGAGGATAGATGGACAACGTACCTCGTCAATCACACTTCGCAACGAAATGAGCTTTTGTATGATTGTGCACAGGGTTATGTCCGGGTCGCTGGCATCACTGAGGCCATGTTTTCCGTGAACTACCTCCATTGCAGCCTCTTGGATCTGGGCAAACTCAACCATCGTCTTAACAATCATGCTTAGAGGAGTACCATCCTCCATTGGGATTAGTGATACTGGGTTTGTTTTCAGCCTTGGCAATGAAGGAGGACGAAGCAGAAGCATGCCCAGCATCTTGTCAAGGTAGAAGCAAGAAAAAAGACAGAAACGAGCATCTTGATCCTCCTGACAACGAACTGGAGTATCGTCTCTGATTGTATGATAGTTCATGGCAACAAGGATCTGCGAAGCGAATGCCGTGAGCATCCAGCTTCGAGTTGGATATCCCCGCATTTGGTGCAGGAGCGCCTAAAGTGGAGTCTTGGTCAACTTCTGTTCGAGCGATAGGAAGGGTAACATACACCGGATAGCAAGGCCTGTACCAGAGTGATAGAGTGTGTACCAACGAAATTTATCTGATCCAATGCCTGCAAAGCCGCCGACGCATATTTCTCTTGGGTCTTTCTGACGTGTGTGCGGAGCCGCCCGCCCAAGCGTTGCTGCGGCACACGGGCGAGAAAGAACAGAGCTTTAGTGTAGACGCATACCCGATAATGCAGAGATGTCTGCCGATCTAGGTTGCCCTCTGCAAGCGAGAGGCTCATATGCTCTAGACATTTGATCGATATGTGGTCGGGCCAATAGAAGTGTCTCTGAGCGGAGTGCTGATGTGATATATCTATGCGATGTCAGAGTCCACCTGACTTGCTCTAACTTCCAATAACACGAACCCTTAGACATCATAAGGTAGACTTCCAATGGAAATTCTTCGCATACAGGTGTGTCATGATCATCTGCCCTTCTCTGGTTCCCACTGACAAGCTTAGGCTCTGTGGAAGATGCGGATATCTTATTGACCAGCGATAGAGCGTTCTCCAGAACTGTCCGTCTCTGGAGAGATAGGTGATTCCTATGCTGCAGTTCCTGTTGGATTAATCGTCGTGCTTCGGTGACTTGCTGAAGGGGCGTGTCCTCGTTCACAACTGGAGACTCGGAGACTCTCTGAGAAGGGGTATTCCCTTTAGCAGAATTCGAATCCCGCCGAATAACAGATTCCGGGACATGAGACGATATGGGCTGATCAATTCTGGTACTGTTTGATTCCCCAGCCTGAGATGGACCGTGGCTCTGTGAAGAGGTCGCTGCAGCACTTGGAGGGTAGGAAACAACATGCTCAAGAGTCGATAGCCTCTCCGACAGTCCGGCAATTCTGGACTGGGCGTTACAATCCGAAACCCCAGAGATAACCGAACACATTGAGTTTAGACCGACTTACCGGGAAACCCTGGGACGCATACTGCGTCTGGGCCGGGTTCGCCGACACTCCGCGCGGGCGTCCACGCAGTTCATACAAGGGTCCAGCCGGTCACATTTCACCTATGTAGGCGAGTGTGTTAGATGAGGGTCAATGAGAAGAGGCCAAGCAGAGCGATTAATTTTCATAGGATAACGCACCTTCCTTGAGTGGCACAGATCGCACTTGATAATTGCAGAAGCGAATGTTAGCCATCGAGGAAGCAAGCCACCAGCTGCTCCCAGTAGAAAAACAGAACCACATTGAAAGTAAATCTTTCACCGAGTGGGTATGCACCTCACAACACAAGAAACTTACAGCTGATCTTTCCATTACGATCGGGGTGGCCATTGTGCCATCTGCTATTTTTCTCGCTGCGGGATGATGGGTACAGCCCAGCCATCCAGCCAAGCACCAATGACAGTGATGGAGATTGGGGGCGGTTGATTCTCGGTGGTCCGAACATCCGACTAAAATTGGTAACAGAGTGTGTGATAGTAGCCAGCTTTATGATAAGATTTCAAGTTAGGCCAAAGACAAGAAAGAGAATTGGGGTTTGGGACAGATGTATATAAAGGCCCGCCCCGAACCAGCAGAATCTGATAACAGGACTCGGCACAGGGTGGCGGCCACTTGTGCCGGGTAAATGCAATGTTGATGCCTCTTTAAAGGGCAAAGAAGTAGAAGTTTCTATGACAAATGTGGATCCGGATTGGTCAGTCGGTTATTGCACGGGTGCGTTTGACTCGCCTTCATTGGTAGAACATCCAACCAAACATACCTCATCAGGTAGAAGACGAAGAGATGGAAAAAGTTCTCGGTGAAGTATTGGGAGAGGAAAGGGGCAATTCAGCACGAGATCAAGGAACTACACAAGTCGATACCAACTCTGTCGCTTATTTGAGTAGCTTCGCCCTAAACCGGACGTGGCTTAGGAGACCGCCGGGCATAAGCACTACGGGGAAGATTACACCCAGAGCCACAACTATCGCATAGAGCCATGCACCAAGCATTGGAAACGGTCCCAGGTCGTGTTTACGCAGCTCTTGACGAAGAGCCAGTCTCCAGGTATTGCAGGTTAGAAGCTTAGATAGACCAGAGACAAGCTTTTTCAGCCAGTGGGGCCGACCGAGGGAAAGGAGGCAGGCGGTGTTCTTCTTACTTTCCTTCAATTAATGTTTGGTCTTATCTGCTAACCGTTCGCCTCGATGTTGCGGGAGTGAAGTACTATCATGTATATCATAGGCCTCTGTCAGAGACATGTGGCTGCGGAGCGCAGACACAGCCGTCCGAACTTCACCACCGGGCTCTTCTCTCAATTCCTGAGCATTCTGATAGTCGTTTGTACCCGACAATTAAGCGAACTAGAGCCTGCATTTACTCTGCAGTTTGGGAAAATAGCAGCTTTCAAAGATCAGGCTTTCGGCGAAACGGCTCACAAGCCTCGGAAATATCCAAACTTGGCTACGGCTAAGCCTTTGTAGTGTCTTGGTGGTACAATACAAGTGGGCCAAAATGAGTCCCTATTGCGCTTGGATGCATGGGTAAACATCGGCTGACGCGGCCACTTGCCTCCCCGGCACCAGTAGTCAACCCTGAATTTGACGACTCGCAGTAGAATGTTCCGAGAAAACCTTGTATACTCAATAGTTCTGGGGGCATACCAAATGATAATTCAATTGTGTGGTCCAACCAGTGGCACTGAGATGCCATTTCCGCGCATTCCAAACCCACCGCAATGCAGGTATGCTGCGGACCTAAGGTATGTAACTGTTTCATCAACACCAGATTAAGACACCTAACCCATAACCTGCCATATTACAGATGACATTAAGAAGTGCGTGACAATCCTACATATGGAGAGAGTGTGAACTTGCTGCGATATCACTGTCCCTGGTTGTTACCTGCCACTCACCATGAGAAGGCCATCGCGCTTTCAACTATGTATTTGTTTATTATTCCTCATCCCATTGACGCTGCTGGCCAGCCACCTCGAAGATCTGTGCGATCAGTATCGCGCGCAAGAGTACATATTTGATTGGTTCATACTCGATCGGGCTGATCTAGAGAGGATACCTTCTCCTCCAGTCCGGACGGGCGACAAGGTAATTGTGGCTGCGAAGCTGCAGAATGAAAAGACAAACTGGATTGAGCAAGAACTACCTGAGTAGGTAGTATGAAACTCACCATCACTATAGACTGTACACTAACCATACGAAGCTGGCAACGAGCTATCTACATCGTCAACCCATCGCGAGAAGTTGCAGCGGATGGGCGACAACTCACAACACCCCTTAACAAGGGCCATGAATCTATGGCTTACCTAACATACATTATAGAGCACTATGATAGGCTCCCTTCTACCATGGCCTTTGTCCATTCGCATCGCTCAGGCTTTCTCCGAGCATGGCATGTTGATGCGCCTTTGCATGATAATGCGTGGTCTATAAGAGCCTTACAACTGGACTTTGTGCAGCAGAATGGCTATGTCAATCTACGGTGTAACCTAAACCCAGGCTGCAAGGCCATCTACCACCATGTAACCCGTGATATCTTCACAGAGATATTCGAAGGCACCAGCACACCGCCGCGCAATCGGACTGATATCGCGCTTGGAAGTGAAAAGCGCGCCATTGAAATCCCCGACACGGTTGCGGCAGCATGTTGTGCGCAGTTTGCAGTATCTCGGGAGCAGGTGCTTCAGAGACCACGTGAGGATTATATTAAGATCCGGCAGTGGGTGATTGATACGCCGTTGGATGATGCCCACAGCGGAAGGGTTATGGAGTATCTGTGGCATATCATCTTTGGCAAAGAATCTGTCTAGTGAGTTAGACGTTTGCTGACAGTAGAGTGATGCTGACCTCGGCTTAGTTGCCCGGATGAGGAAGTCTGTTATTGCCAGGTGTACGGGCTATGTTGAATGATTACGCGTTAAGCATTGTTTGTAATAAGCGTGTTATGAATAGATTAGAATGCTCTTGCTGCTCTCGTCCTTTCTATTAGCCCCATCGTACTCATACTAGAACTGGCGTTCATCTATATGGTGTGTATGTGCGCTTTCCAGCATATCACTTCAAGCAGAGAACCACAACCTACTAGAACCGATTTTGGTACGCACCCCCAGACAGTAATAGCAAGGATTCTAACCACCCCAAGCAATTAAACATCATCATTCATGAGCCACAGTTTTCTCATATTTATGGTGTACCCTCCACCCCTTCCATCTTTTCATGCACGGCTTCGTTGCATCACCACCACCACCTGCAAGCCCCAACCCATCCATCCTTCCCAAAGGATTCGGAAGTTCGGACGCCCGAACTAATTCCACCCCCAAAGTACCACGGCCACCTGTATGAAGTTCCTTGAAACACGACCAAGATCAATCAAATACCTCGGGTATCCCCCCATCAGAATCTTGTTGAAAAAAGTACTTGGTATATTGCGATGGGGCCTTTTTTTGTCCACGTGCCATATGCTAACACTCTCATTGCACGAAACCGGGGATAGAGTATTGTGGTTCAGGGAGATTTTCCATGGGTCCGGGCCCACGGCACACAAATTTAGTTATCTCCTCGGTAAGATCTGCGGGTGGGTCTCACTAAGCCCGTCCCTGAGTTGAGGTGCTCTCGAGACAGGTTGCCTTGTTGGTTTAGTTAACTCGTTTAGTTAGTTACTTCGGTTCTCCGTGGAAATGGAGTAGCGACGCTTGTTCTGGGACATTTAGGCGATTTGGTGGTTCTGGATGAATCCACTCTATCTTTGGAGCCGCGTCACCCGTTCACCGTTTGTATGAATAAGGCCAGAACTACATACAGTGAAGTGAAAAGAACAGAAATACATAGATAAACCAAATGAATCATCCTAAATACGGGCTAGGCATCCCGTATCACTCCTTGCGAGGCATGCATAGCACCAAGCTCCAAATCTTGATACCCATCTCTACTACCTTCCTTATTCCTACTCCCACTACCAGCACATAAACCATCTCCAAAGCCAGCCCCAAATGCTCCATCGCTCTGTCTTGACCCCCAAGCCCATCCACCATATGCCAATCCTGCAGGAGCATGATACCACATAAACCCTAATATAGCAAACACAATCCCAATCAAACTGCCTCCCAGGATATCCCACCCAGCGTGCATGTAGTCCATATACCGCGACGCACAGATATATAACGCACCACCAACAGGAATGGCAATAAGCACAAGAAGATACAACGGCGGAGCTGCTATCGCCGACGCCCTGCTGAATGACGAGTCTGTCTTCTTATCTCTTCCCGCAGCGCTCAGAGCTGTAGAGCGGACAGGAACAGACACCGCAAACTTCGCACCCATCCATAGCGACAGATAAAGCAGACCTGCCCATGAGAAGGAAGAATGACCGGACGGAAAAGCAGCGAACCCGGCTTTGATGACAGTCGCGTCGGGGTTCTGGCAAATAGCCGATGTGACCATAACCGGTGACTCTGTGCGCTGGAGACCCAGTCCACCCACAGCGTAGGTGGTGAGATTGGTTAAATCGGGTTGGCAGCGGGCCAGGAGATCCGGTCGTGGTTTACCCACTACGTCTTTCAGGCCAGAGGTGAGGAAGAATGCACCCGCTAGACTCAGGGCTAGGCCTAGCCATCCGGCGTGCCATTCCCAGAGGCGACGATGCCAGGGGAGGGGAGTGAGGAGGCAGATGGCTGCGATGAGGAGGGCGGGAACGACGCAGCAGACGATTCCGACGGTTGTGATGGAGACGGTATCGGATTTGAGGGGGTAGGAGATGTTCGCATCGTCGAGGGAGAACACGTGTTCGGAGCCGGTGATTTTGTAGAGGATTCCACCTGTGACCACGAGGATACTGGTTTGTGTGAGGGTGTGTTAGTGGTGAGTTTATGAAAATGATGGGAATGTGGTAGGGTTGTTCGAACATGATGAATGCCCAATCGAGCAGGTATGAGGCTATCACACGCTTCGAAGTCCGTCTGGGCTGAGTGGATAGCATGTCGTAGTCTGCATCAGCTTGTGTTGCTGATGCCATGGTGGTGAGTCTCGAGTAGGGAGATGCGGTAGGGTGATTCCCAGTATTTCCCAGTGATTCTAGTAATGCTGTGTTTGCCGTGGGAATCTCTACTTATAACTGTGGGTCATGCCCGCCACAGATGTCAAAGAAATCCATCCATTGTCAGTCCCTGAAATTAGCACGGGATTGTTGGACCCGTTTTTACGATCCCAAGTCTGGTAGCTGTGATGGATGCCATAAATAGCCGAGTGGTACAGCCTAGTCCCGACCATAAGAGGCATGATTGTCATTTCAACACTGCAAGCATTGAGCTAAGCAATAGTCAAAGTATACATCTGAAAGCTTCTGCCTAACGTGGCTGAGCCATGTAATACAACATTGTAGGAGAGTTTGTAGAAATAAGCTCCGGGAGCGAGTCTTAGCGGAACTTTGTTACACGCACTCTACCGTTCACAGAGCCATGGGAGTCTTATAACAGCAAGAGAGAATAATGAAGGACATACATCAAGCTTCAACATATTGTAGTCGAGTGATAGTCATCGACCAGAGTATCTGAACATAGTTATCTCTCTCAGCTTCGTCAAGAGATAGCCGAAACAGAACCACTGCATCGATGATGGCATACACAAGGTCTTTCACCTTGGTCAAGATCGCCAGACATTGGCAGTGTCTGGTCCGGGGCATAAGTGAACCCATTCTTTGCTTCGAACTCTTCTCATCCCAGGAACCAACCTCCACCATCACCACATCCGGACAAAGACACCATGTGTTCTACATTTATGCTAATTGTCATCCAATAAAATCCTTCAGTACAATCCTCGCAACCCTCTCTAGTCTATCCCACATTCACATTAATCAAAGCCTCTAGCTTCAACTCTTGAAACCTCTTCTGCAAGTTATACTGCCCCTCCAACCCAAACCAACACAACGGGAACATCCCCAAGCCTATCCCTAATATCTGACACGATGCTCTACATAAACGTCTAACCCACTACTGAAGAAAAGTCCCCAGTCCAACAAGATCTAAAACGCCCATAAACACACAATTATCCGAAACGCCCTCTACAACCATCCTCTCCGGCTCCCGAGCAACAGCATCCAACGACCTTCCTTGAATAGAAACAGATTTCGAACGAAATACCCCATCTCCAATCTCTCAGCTACCTCCCACCCCCTCCGATATTCCTACCGTGATACCTTTCTACCCCAACCAGCGCCAACGACAGCACAACAACCCTAGAAGAACCACCATCCCCGAAGCCGCAAATTGCAGCCGGTTGCACAATAGCCCCGCAAATATCGAGCACGATGACGTGCACAACTCCCAACCCCGATTCTCTTTTCGAAAGACACTCTTCACGGCATTTGCATTGAGGCGAATGGGTCGATGGATGGGTCCCAGGGTCGTTGGGAATATCCGTAGCCGAGAAGGTCGTAGAGGTAGACTTAGTAGCCTGCCTGCCTGCATCCGTGAGGGGCGAGATGAGGTTGCGCTAGTTAGAAGAGGAGATGAGATGTGGTGGAACTAGTTATAATGTTCTGCGACTGGTGGGGTTTATATAGTATGCGGGTTTCCCTTGAGTTGCCTTCTACCTCATATATGATCTTTGGTAGGGAGGAGCTAGATAGTAAGTAGTATGAAACTGCAGGAATATTTTGATCTTTGGGGCACATATGCTCACTAGTAGGAGAGGGTAACTTGGAGATAGACGAGGTCTGCTTCAATTCAGACTGTTCTTAGGAGGACTTAAACTAGTGACCAACAACAGCATATAAGAAATGTATGTACGCAATCCATTCACATGTATCCGAACGGATTCAACTGCTGACAAAAGAGAATCGGCATCATATCAAGCCAACAATATCCACAGGTATAAACAAAACAGGTTGATATCTCACTCCCAAGAGAGGAAAAGTAACTCCCAAACACCCCTGCCAAGGCCTGGATCATAAAGGCCACCCAGAACAGAAAATCAAAAGGTATCATAGATTAAGAATCACGAACGCGCGCTTGCCGTTTGGCCGTCCCAATATGCGTATTATGTACCTTGGTCGCAAATTTGAGACTGGTCAACGTCTCCGCCAAATGTGCCTGCAGCGGGCTGACCATGACAAACATGAGGGTCTTGGAGTTACCTCCCAGTGAGAATTGGAGGAGATATGTAAGCTGCATACAAGTCAGTCATTGCGCGGCCAAATGGTTGGGTCGAACAATACGAACCTTGCTGTTCCTGTAGGGAATGTGTCCGCCCTCCTTGCCCTGTCCAAGGGCAGCGATAACATCACCCAGACAGCTCAAGCTGCGGTTAATGTTTTGCGTCTCTTTCAAACGTTCGCCAGTTGCACCACTGTGGCTCAGACGTTCACTACCGGCCAAGTCAACCAAGTTGAGGGTTCCTTCGCTGCGTTCGCCAGTAATGTCATTCTCACCGATCAACTTGAGAATGAAGACCGAGTGAGACCGGGAGGATCGCTCGTTGGCCTTGGTAGCTGCCACAGAGCGGTTGGAGGCGGCCCGCTTTAGGATTGTCTCAACCATCTCAGGAGACTCCAACCGGACAGTAGTGACATCCGTGATGATCGTCTTTCCTCTTTGCATGTCGTGGCGGATTTCCAGCTTCTTCTTGTCCAACTCTTCAGGGTTACCAAGGAGGTCGTTCAGATTCTCGTTGTACACTTCAACGAAGTTGCCCTCCATAGTGTACCGCCAGCCCTTCTCTTCCAGGCCCGTGGCTGTCTCATAGATCTGGTGCACTGCACGAGGAATCATACCGTCGAGCGAAGACATCGTATACGTCTTTCCACTACCAGTCTGACCGTAACAGAAAATGCACACGTTGTATCCGTCCAGGGCGCTTTGGACTAGCTGGCTGATCTCATCGAAGACTTCGGCATTCTGCGTTGACGGTCCGAAAACACGATCGAATGAGAAGTTGCTGTTCTTTCTTGTGATTGTACCGAGGCTGCTCTTCTCTTCTGGGCCCAGCACGGCAATCTCCTTGCTGTCCTCCGCCTCGTCGGGATACTCTATCTGAGCCGAGCCAGTGGCAGGATCAGAAGGCAGCGATGGGCGAACACGGCAGAAGACGCGAATGTTGCCTTTGAGTTCTTGCACCTGATTGTGAAGTTTCCTTCTTAGGGTCTCTTCCTTCCTCAGCTTGTCCTTCGTAGCGTTAGTTTCGGCCAACGCATCCATCATCTGCTGGTTCAAGCGCTCAAAGGCCTGAGATTGCTCCTCTCGTCCAGATTCGAGGAATTCGATTCTTGCCTTGAGCGCGCGAACAGAAGATTCCAACGTCACACTGTTGGAACTGGCTGTGTCCAGGTTCTGGCGAAGATCCCGGTTGCTCTTGCGCTCACGTTCAAGTTCCGCCCGCAGAGCTTGCATATCATCGCGAAGCGTCGCGATTTCCCGTTCTTTCTTGTCAAGCTCCATGTTTGACTTTTGCGTGTCAATGGCCGTCTGTGATGTCATCTGACTGATCTCCCGAAGCCGAGCAGCTCTTTCGTCTTCCAATTCATGCTCGAACCGTCGCTTTAGTTCGCGGATCTCCTCTTGATGTTGCGAGGCCAATGATTCCAACTCCCTTCTACCATCGAACCGCACGGACTCTAGTTCCCTGCGCTGACGAGAGCCAATTTCGTCGATCTCCATCTCATGCTCTCTCTGCGCATCCTTCAGGGCATCCTCGGACGCTCCTAGACGGACCTTGAGTGATTCCATCTCAACGCGAAGTGTTAGGTTCATATCGGTGATCTCCTTTCGGGAAGCCTCCAGCTCGCTAACTGTAAAATACTCAGTTTCAAAGATGTCGAATCGTGCTTGTCGACAATTGGCTTACCTCTGGATTTATACAAGTCAAGCGCTTCCTTCATGCCGGTACTTTCCTGCCCAGCCTGGCTCATTTTCGTGACAAAAGTATTCATGAGATCTTCCATTGTCTTTTCGCGGCTTTCTTGATCCCACTCGGCACCTGTAGAAGAGTTAAACGTCTCAATCGCTGAATCTTTGGTAAGGAATTGCGGCAAAGGGGGTGGCTTTTTCCTAGCAGAGTGCTTTTTAGGAGACAGAATCTTATTTGGCGCAGGCTTGACTGGGGTAGTCACGGCCGTGATCCTCGAAGATAATGATCCAGTTGGCGCACCATGTGACGGCAAGGGGGCAGAATCCAATGTGTCATTGGGGGAGGGCTCCAGGTCCAACTCTTTCAGGGAAGTGCACAATAAAGTCGCAGGACTGGTATTGGACGACTTCCGCAAAGCACGATTGCTTGACATATTGCATGGGGCGCGAAAAATTGCAGCAGAACGAACAAAGCAAGGGGTGGGCCTACCCTTTCGTTTACCAAGTACAGTAGCGGCGGAGTCCTCCTCATCATGCGTATCCAGAGATGTCGCGGGGCGAGGGATGCCATGGCCGTTCGGTCTTCGGGAGCTGGCGACGGAGTGTGAGCGAGACATGCTGGTGTGCGGTCGAGCGTGGGGAACCCCGGAAATGGTTCCTTTCGATCGCGTGGATGTGGTGGCTGATCTGGTCAAGGTGGAGGATGAGTGCGAATTAGCGCGAGTGTGAACTCTTGTAGTGCTGTTGACGCGCGACGATGCTGCTCCGGCTCCGGCTCTGCCAACCTCGGGTGCTTGCGTGGTACTTCTGGGACGAGAGGGTTCTGTGACTGTCAGCTTCTGTTCGCTGCTCCGCTTCCACAGCTCCTGACACATACGCGACAGGCTCGTAGACTTGCTGGTTACGGCTCCCGCAATGGTACCGGGTTGCAAAAGACCGGAGCGGGCATTTGTCGAGGCCGGATTCATCTCTCTTAGACCAGTGGGAATTCGTGAACGGGCGGACGATCTGGACTGCATCTGCCATTTTGTATCAGCACTCATCACCCGTCAAGCGCGGATAATGGAATTCACCATATGGTCGTTCTCCATGGCTTCCACAAGCGGGTCAACGCGACCCCTGACAATTCGAATATCGGTGGGTTCAGGAGAGTACAATGGGAAGAAAAGCGCGCGTAAGTGAAATACAAAAGCACAGACAATCAAATCCAAATCAGGCTGCGACCTGTTAGGGGCAGGACTGCATCGCAAGTCGGGCCGTCAGCGAGTCGTTTGGTGCAGGTCGAGGCAGCGCAGGTGAGTTTATCACGACGGTTCGATTGCCGGCCAGCTTTGGTGGGCGTTTCTGGAGTGACGGCGGGCGGTAAACAAACTTGGCTGACTCAGCCCGGCCCGGCGGGGTGCGCTATTGCCCCATCGGGCTAGGCGTAATGCTGGTCATGAATACCACAATACCATCCTTGGTTTGCTTGGTTTGCGACGAACTTCGCTGGTTGATTT